ATTTTAAAAATATTTTAATAAATTTATAAAACCAAAGTAGTGATAGCCACTAACTCTTTATAGCGACTCTCCATACGAAAGTTGAAAAGTCGAAATTGATTATGATTCAACATCAAGTACAGTTCAACAACCCTTAATTAACTGATCAGCCTAATGACTGTTATTTTTTCTCAAAGGAAATTAAGCACAACACAAATAGACAAGTAGATTTTTAGTAGCTTCAATTGCATCTGCAAGAACTTGCTTGATGAGGGAAACCCTTTTTTTTTTTTTTCACTTCTGTGGTTGAAGTTTAATGTACTTCACCATTTTCTTTAGGAGACTCTTCCTTGTCTTCCTCTTTTTTCTCCAATTTCAATTGTGCTTCTTCCTTCCCCTTCTCTTCTTTCTCTGCTTTCAGACGCGCTTCTTCCTCAACTTTTTTTCTTGCTTCCTCCTTTGCAGCCACAAGAGCTTCAATCAAAGCCTTCAAACAAGTATCTTCATCATCCTCTTCTGACTTCGGCATCAAATTTTCAGCAACATCAGCAGGAGTCATGTTGGTTTCCTCCAACAATTTGTGGATTTCTTCATACAGTGGATGAGTATCAATATACAAGTAGTTTTTTGCTAGCACCTTGAACGCTTCAAAGCTGCAATATGACATTTCTATGTGCTTGTCCATTCTTCCCCTCCTTATCAAAGCAGGATCAAGCTTCTCAACATAATTGGTGGTGAACACAATGATCCTTTCTTCACCACAAGCTGACCAAAGTCCATCAACACAATTCAAAAGCCCTGACAAAGTGACTTTACTCTGCTTTTTCTCCTCCTTGTCTTTCTTACGGACTGGATCCTTCCCTTCTTCTTCCTCCTCATCTTTCTCTTCCTTCTTCTCTCTTTGGCCTGTAAGATCAAGAGAGCAATCGATGTCCTCGATCACAATGACTGACTTACTTGATGTCTCAATCAAAAGCCTCCTCAAGTCTGTATTATCCTTAACTGTTGTTAGCTCGAGATCATAGACATCATAATTCAAGAAATTTGCTATGGCAGCTATCATGGAAGATTTCCCAGTTCCAGGAGGACCATAAAGGAGATAGCCACGCTTCCATGCCTTCCCAATCCTAGAATAGTACTGCTTCCCCTTGCTGAACTTGATGAGATCCTTCATGATTTCTTCTTTCTTTTTTGTCTCCATGGCCAAAGTTTCAAAAGTTGAAGGATGCTCGAAAACTACATGAGTCCACTTGGTCCTCTTGTAACCATACCAATTCTCACTAGGATTGTTAGTGTAAAGCTTCCTCTGCCGATTCCTTGCTGCAATTGCATCTCCTTCTTTCAACACATGACTGATATAAGACTCAGTGATGAGTTTGCGGTCACGCTTATGGCATGTAAGGCTGTAATACTTCTTTCCATCGGAAGCAGGATACCATGGAAGTGAAAACTGCTTCTCTGGAACGATTTTCCTTGAAGTCCACCAGACCTTGACGCCCTCAAACTCATCAGTGACCTCCTCATTGTTGTCCATACTGAGGACTAAGGACTGGCCATCTTTGACAACATCTGCCTTAAGCCGCTTAACATGTGCAGAGGACTTGGCACTGAGGTAGTTCCGAATTGCAGAGAAGGCTTCGCTTCGCTTCATGCGTTCACCTGTGAATTCATCAAAGGTAATTTTAACATAAGGATGCAGAGTACTTACAAACTTTTGGCCATATCTTTCAATATAGCCACGGATATGAAAAGGGAAGTATTGCTGAATGATGGCATTGATGAACATCAGTGTAGCAACAGTTGAGCCGACGTAAGAATACATTTCTCCCATTGACATCACCATCTCCTCCTACTTCTATGGGAGAAATCTATGATTTTCTTGTTACTGAATGTCTGATTAGCTACAACATGTTCGAACACTTATATAGATAGAGAAAAGTGCTTGGAACTTGCTGA